TCTTATATTTTTTCATTTAAACAAATATTTTTCGAGTTACATTACATTTAATATGAGTACTAAAATTTATATTCCATTTTCTTCATTTTACGGTTACTTTTTATCATGTTATACTTACATTAGACACAATGTTATAAATGGATATGTGTGTATGTGTGAGTTTATTTATTTATTGTATCATAGAAGTGTAGTGTATATTAATATACAAGCGATAGATTAGGTAATTGATTTGACGCTATATTGTTTAAGCCCAACTAAACACCCAAAGAAAAATCTCAATCAATTTTGATAGAGAAATTTTATCAAGGATTTATGATAATGTTTTATTAATACGAACAAAATAATTATTCTTATGAATAATTATAATTATTACTATACTGCCTCTTATATGCTCGTTCCTTATCCTATTTTCTCTAGTCACTCCACTCATCCAACTAAACATTCTCATCTCTGCTACACTAATTCTCTGCTCTACTTTCTTATCAACCGCCCAACACAATGAACTATACATCATAGTTGGCCTCACAATTTCATACTAAATTTAAAAACTATAATTAGTATGTATTCATATATTACATTTTAAATCAAAGAACTACTAATTAGGATATAATTAAAGAAATAAGAGTTGATGTTACTTTTGGAATAATCCACCAATTTCTCTAAATGAAACACTATCTACAGATTTGCATCGAAGCGTTTCTTATAATAGTGATTTTAATCACTGTCAGATATCATCTATACTTGTCCCATCTATGCCTCGTCCACACTGTGCCTCGACCCCACTGTGCTACCGTTTTTTNTTTCACCATGAAGACAAGTCCAGAGGTCATCGTTTTTTTTTTCAAATTAAAGTATATTACATAAGCTTTAATTTAAGATATATATAAAAGTGTCAGTTTTTCCGGAACATTTTCAAAAGTTAAGTTGAAAAAGTTCTACTTTCTATACGCATTTTAAAAGGTTTGCACCCCCCCTGTATAAAGGGAAATGGTCCGATTTTAAAAAAAAGTATGTCGAATGAAAGAAGTATATATAAAGTATTTATCATTAAAGAATAAAGTTGATTCATGCATTTTTTAAAAAGTTATAGCAACATAATGTTAAAAAATGTAAAATATAATATCAAGAATTTTTTCACAAAAATAGCATATTTTTGCATACGGTAGTCATTTTCACCACGAAGACAAGTCCAGAGGTCAAAATTTTTTTTTTCAAATTAAAGTATATTACATAAGCTTTAATTTAAGATATATATAAAAGTGTCAGTTTTTCCGGAACATTTTCAAAAGTTAAGTTGAAAAAGTTCTACTTTCTATACGCATTTTAAAAGGTTTGCACCCCCCTTGTATAAAGGGAAAAGGTCCGATTTAAAAAAAAAGTATGTCGAATGAAAGATGTATATAAAAAATATTTATTGTTAAAGAATAGAATTGATTCATGCATTTTTTAAAAAGTTATAGCATCATAATGTTAAAAAAACCCAGCACAGGGGGGTCGCGGCACAGTGGTGACGTGGCATAGTTGGATCAAGTATAATGATATCTGACAGTGATTAAAATCACTATCAAAAAAAAACGCTTCGATGCAAATCTTTAGATAGTGTTTAATTTTAAAAATTGGTGGATTATTCCAAAAGCTTCATAAACTGCTAGTTCCTTATTAATATCCTGATTAAGATAAAGTATGTCGAATGAAAAAGGGATTATTAAAATATGTTATTTCATATAAAAAAATAATGTTGATCCATACACTTTTAAATATGTCATAGCATTATAAAGTTAAAAATGTAAAAAATAAAATCGAAAATTTTCACACAAAAATAGCATTCGGTAGCCATTTTCACCCTGAAGATAAAATAAAGTCCGATATTTTTTTTTTTCACAATAAAGTACAGTCGAACTTGGTTAACTCGAAGTTGAAAGGACCAGAGTAAAAGTTCGAGTTATCCAAAAAAAAATTTTAAAACAGTACTGTATGTCTGTATATTAATTCCTGTGTTTATTATAAATAAAATATGAAATGTGCAATAAAAATTAGTATGTATGTATATGTAATTTTAAAAAGGTAGGTAATGTATGTACATATAAACAAAAATGAGGTTAAAAAATTATTTAAAAAAGGTATTTATTTTTGTTTGAGTTTTGCTGTTGATTGCAGCGTTTGTAGTGAATCGTTCTATTTTATTCAAAGCTTCGAAAAGTTCATCACTGACCTCTCCTTTGTTTTCGATAAATCGCCTTAATTCATTAATATGCATCCGTGCTTGTATACTCGTGGAAATGGGGGGTTCGATACATTCTTGTTCCTCTTCTTCATCCAATGATTGTGTACATCTTACAGTTAATTGTATAATGTCTGAATCTGATAAATGTCCGCATACTTCTAAGTCGTCATCCATGTTGATGTAGTCATCAAAATTAATATTTACACCTTGCCTCACATCGTCCCATACATTTATTGTAATCGTTTGTTGAATTTCTTCATTGCCGACATTTTCTGAATTTCCGCTTAAAAAACCAGCTTTACGGAAACAGTTTGCAATGGTTTCTGATGTTACTTGTTCCCAAGCATTTTTGGACATTCGATTTGCTTGTAAAATATCAATTTTACCACCATCCTGTAGCAAGTTCAGTACTAGTAGAGTACGGTAATGGTGCTTGAAATTTTTAATAATTCCTTGGTCCATTGGCTGAACCACAGATGTCATATTGGGAGGAAAAAACAAAACTTCGAGATTACCCATTGTAGGAATGTACATGTAGTTATGCGCAGTGCAATTGTCAATAAACAACATCACTTTTCTGTTTTGTTTACAAAATATTTTATCAATTTTCAGTAGCCAATTTTTAAAAATTTCGCCTGTCATCCAAGCTTTTTTATTCGCTTGATATTCAACTGGTTTCGATTTTACATTTTTAAAGCACCTAGGATTTGATGATTTTCCTATCATGAAAAAGGGATTATTAAAAAATAGTATTTCCCATAAAAAAATTATATTGATCAATATACTTTTCAATAAGTTATAGAATTATAAAGTTAAAAATGTAGAAAATAAAATTGAGAATTTTCACTTAATAATAGCATTTGGTAGCCATTTTCACCGTGAAGACAAAATAAAGTACGAACTTTTTTTTACCATTATAAAGTATAATACATTAGCTTTAATTTAAGATATATATAAAAGTGTCAGACCTTCCGAAACACTTTCAAAAGTTAAGTTGAAAAAGTTCTACTTTCTATATGCATTTTTTATATTTGAAGCCCCCCCATATATAGGGAAATAGTCTGATTTAAAAAAAAAGTATATCCAATGAAAGATGTATATAAATACTACTTCTCATGAAAAAATTGTATTGATCCATACATTTTTTAAAAAGTTATAGCACTTTAAAGTAAAAAATGTAAATTATAAAATCGAAAATTTTCACACAAAAATAGCATT